TCTGTCCATATTGTCGGAAGTTTGACTTCTAAACTTCCTTCGACAATTTCCTTGCAGTACTTCCATTTTCTGAAAGAGAAATCTAGTGAATGAATCCGACATCTTACAGCAAAATTATGTGCTAATTTGATGAGGAGGCCTCAGCTGATGCCCTGTTGGGTGCAGCACCGGAGCAACCAGAGACCTCAGAGACTGCGCTTCCGAACGCAGAACCGAAGCGACCACCTGGAGCTTTTGGTGCTTATCTGAGTAAACCGATCTGAGCCTGTCTTTCTTCTTTTTTGAATCCAGAGATGCTGTCCCGATATCTTTATTGAGGTCTTTACTACCAGCAGTTCCGTGTGCAATTGCAAGCCGAGCTGGAACCGAGACAGAAAAAAGGTGATGCCAGGCTGATTGCCAAGAAAAATTGGGATGCGCTTCCTGCTGCAGAGCGGAACAAGTATGAGGCCAGTTATTTCTTTCTTTGTTTTATGCAGTCCTTTGTGGCTTCAGACCTTGAAGGTGGAGGCTGCTGAGCGTATGCAGCAATACCAGGCTGTGTTGCACCAGGTTGTGTTGGTAGACAGACAAATCACATTTGTAACTGGCAGTAGTATATATGCGCTGGCAGGAATGGTACCATACGGGTGGTGGAAAGGAAGTCTGGGCCTTGTCAGAAACCATCTGGCAAAGCACACACTTTGTCTTTGTGGCAAAGCACAAACTTTCTCTTTTGCAAGTACTGCCAGAGAAAGGTGTGGTCATATTCCATGAGGTCATAGCAAAACGCAAAGCGGAGAAGAAGGCAGCACAGTCTCAAGAGAAGGCGTTTGCTGTGAATTTGCTGTGAATCGAGACTTGACATGAAGAGTTGTGCATTGTTCTTTTGCACAGGCACCCAGACTGGATGGCGAGCAGGCGGGCTTGATATTGCGCTGGGGGCACCTGCTGGTGTTGTCAACCCTGGCGAGGCAGCGCCAGTGACCTCCACCCAGACTTCAGCATACGGTCTCTGACTTAGGCTTCTGCAACCTGAAGGATATGTGGCAAAAAGAATATCAGTAGCTGGAGGTTTTTCAACAACTTCCATGATATTGAAATTTTGTTTTTTCAGTATTGCGGAATTTGGTCTGAGGACTTTTCCTGACAGAGAAGAAAAACGATTTTGTGAAGCAAGCGTCGCAGCTAGAGGCGAAACAATGTCTTCCATTGGCCTGTTGTGTTTGAGTATGGAGATAGATTTCTGAAGATAGCCAGGCGGATGGATCAAAGAGAGGTTTGTGGACCAAATTGGCAGCTACAGCGTGGCGTGACTTGAGTCCCAAGTCCAAGCGACAGTACGAGGAGCTTCTCTTTTCGCTGAGTTTGGAAGAACCAGACATTTTAGTAATAGCCACAGAACCAAGCCTCGCAACTTCCCCGGGAAACAAGAAAAAGGAAACGAGGCCCAGAGGTGGGTAAGAGTAAATGTGGTATACTTGGATGGCTGTCTATGTGTTTTTGAGTTCGTTGGTGATGTTGGCACTTTGTCTTGTGATAATGTCACCTTGACCAGGGGCATTTAGCGAAGCCCAGCTTCCAGGTGAAAAATTGTCGCATATGTGGAGCGGTTTCCTCATCAGATGTGCAGTGGCATCAAACGAGGGAGGGCTTCGCCAACGGCGAACGCTGCCGGCCATGTGTCGTGAAAGTTGCTTGTCCTTATCATTGGGTGCAAAATTATGATGGGCTCCTAGTATACCTTACCTAGGGAAACAAATTCGCAGCTAGGAAACAAATTCGCAGCTAGGGAACTACATTCGCAGCTAGGGAAACAAATTCGCAGCTAGGGAAACAATTTCGCAGCAAGGGAAAGAATTTCGCAGCTACGAGCAGGGAAACAAATTCGCAGCTAGGGAAGCAATTTCGCAGAATGGCGAAGCGCAATTTCGCAGCTAGGGAAACAAATTCGCAGCTAGGGAAACAATTTCGCAGCTAGGGAAGCAATTTCGCAGCTAGGGAAACAATTTCGCAGCTAGGGAAGCAAATTCGCAGCTAGGGAAACAAATTCGCAGCTCGGGAAGCAAATTCGCAAAATTGCGAAGCAATTTCGCTAGGGAAACAAATTCGCAGCTAGGGAAACAATTTCGCAGCTAGGGAAGGAAATTCGCAGCTAGGGAAACAATTTCGCAGCTAGGGAAACAATTTCGCAGCTAGGGAAGCAAATTCGCAGCTAGGGAAGCAAATTCGCAGCTAGGGAAACAAGTTCGCAGCTAGGGAAACAATTTCGCAGCTAGGGAAGCAAATTCGCAGCTAGGGAAGCAAATTCGCAGCTAGGGAAACAAATTCGCAGCTAGGGAAGCAATTTCGCAGCAAGGGAAACAAATTCGCAGCTAGGGAAGCAAATTCGCAGCTAGGGAAACAAATTCGCAGCTAGGGAACTACATTCGCAGCTAGGGAAACAAATTCGCAGCAAGGGAAACAATTTCGCAGCTAGGGAAACAAATTCGGAGCTAGGGAAGCAAATTCGCAGCTAGGGAAGCAAATTCGCAGCTAGGGAAACAAGTTCGCAGCTAGGGAAACAATTTCGCAGCTAGGGAAGCAAATTCGCAGCTAGGGAAGCAATTTCGCAAAATTGCGACCAAATTTCGCAGCTAGGGAAACAATTTCGCAGCTAGGGAAAGAATGTCGCAGCTAGGGAAAGAATTTCGCAGCAAGGGAAACAATTGCATGACGTAGATCAAGGGCCGTTCCTTGTGCCGTTCCTTGCGCTGCGGGAGACAATGATTCGATATCAGATTGACTATGCAATGGCCTGTCGTGTGGTTTCTGGGAAAGCCGAGGTTGCAAGATATGCAAAACTGCAAGTTGGAAAGCCATTGGCCTTGAAGGATCAGTCGCAGGAAAGCTTGTGGCTGCTTGCCAAGGACAAAAAACTGCGGGCGCTGCTCTTGAAACAGTTGCAAGAGCATTGCTGCAGCTCAGATGGCCAGATCGCCCGTGATCACATGGCAGAGCAGCCAGCGAGTGTTTCGTTGGTGAGCAGCTGCGGGTTTGAAGTGGAAAGCGAGGCCTTTGATGTTTGGCCCGCAGCTTCTTGGTAGCACAGTCTAACCATTCTTGGTGAGGAATGCACTGGACCCAAACAAGGAGAAAAAAGCTGACAGACATACAGCTGCCTCAGGACCTGTATGACGAGAAACGGCATGGGCCTCCAGGACCACTGCGCTGGATCGGCGGCAAGGAATGTGTGGTCAAAACGGCAGTTGGACAGCTGGTGCCGTATCTTGCATAAACCATTGTGATTTTTTTTTGTTGGATTGATGCCAGTGCAAATGGTGGCAGTGACATGAGGCACAATGCGAAGAGGGTGAGACCGAAGCAGCAATATATCGTGCAGAAGTCGCAGCAGGAGGCTGACGATTCGGCTTCTGCAATATATGATGCCATTGCTGGCACCTCTTCGCAGCAGGGGTTACAAGGCATGCACAAAGTGTCATATGTCGCAGAGACTTAGAAAGAAAAGAAAAAAAAATATAAGAACTTGCAGACTTGCAGATTGTGCGGAACTTGTGCGGCCATTCCCTTGTTGTTGTCTAAGGCTCACCAGTGACATCAGCGATCTCCCCTTTATGCTGGGCCTACCTCCTCCGGCGCGAGATTAAACAACGCAAGATCTCTAACGAGCCAGTTTGTTGATTAGAGATCAGACTATGTTGTGTTTTTTTTTTAAATAAAGCTATATTTTTACCTGGCAGGTAGGGAAACATCGATAGCACTGTACCGATCTGTGAATCAGTGGAACAACTTGGAACAACTTGGAACAAGCTCAGAGGATCCGCAAAGTCTAGGAAATCCGCGCAAACAAACCGGGAGGTGTTCTTAGCAGAAAAGTTGTTCTCGTAAGCATTCCGCGCCTTGACACGGCTGAGCAAAAGGTCTCAGCTCAAGGCCCGACAGCTCGATGGCCTCATAGATACATATAGATCCTATAATCTTTATTATAGACGTTATAGCAGTAAAATTTGTACCATGTAAATCAATGTCACATATTGTTGTATCTCTGACCAATATCTTACATTGTGTGAACATCTTTACAAAGCTGGAGGGCGGCGAAGGCTTCAGTGGATTGCGTTTGCAGCTGCCACGGTCTGGCCGTGAATCCAAACCTAGCAAATCCAAAAGAACCAGTTTCTAAACAGAAATGAATTTCAGTCCCGCTTCTCCAAAGAGAGGAAATGAAATCTCCTTTTTTTCATTTTTTTTGCTCATCTTGTTTTTCCTGCCACGATTGTTTATGTGGCATTGCTCCAACGGCACGGCCCGCGCAGCATTTTCAATTTGACTTAGTGCTCTCCGCTTATGTATGACACTCAGCACACAGAGACCAGGCGGCTGGGAAGGAAACAAAGCTAAACGTAGAATCAAATTGCCAACCAAAAAAAGGGAGAAAATTCCTCATTCAATGCTGAAAGAATGAGTTACAGGCATAATCTTGCAAACCCGGCACAGATCTGGTTTGTCAGCAGAGCTGCCGCCCACAGGTTTTGGCTCATGCCGAATCAGGTCCCAACTGGGCCCCTGACGCCCCTAGGCGTGTGCATGCGCAGTGTTGAAGGACATGAGAAAAAAATTCTATCACATTTTTTTTATCAGAAATGTAATGCCTCTGAGAGACAAATCTCAAATTATTTGAAACATTGCATGCCAAGAAATGACAGCTTTGGTGCTAAGAGCCACACGGCTTGACGTAGATCAAGGGCCGTTCTTTGTGCCGTTCCTTGTGCGACGATGCAGAAGCATCAAACCAAATGCACAGCATCGTGAATCGGAACGTTTCTTCAGCCTTTCCAAATGGATGCAGCAGAGAAAAAACAGAGGTGAGTGGTATCGTCTACAGTTTCGAGTTCATCCCCATGGCATTTTTCGCAATTAGCCATGTTTTTTTTCGCAATCGGACAACATCAGCTTTCGCAATTAACTATCTTTTTCTTTCGCAATTAAACTATACTCTCTCCGCAAGAAGACGGCGGTGGCAGATCAGACGGGTTGCAACGGATTGAGCAAGGACATGGGGTTCGGTGGGGCCTGAGGCCTGTTGGGAGAGGGGCATGACTTTACGTGTAGACATTTTGGAGATTGATCCATTAGCTTTATATGTTTCGAAATAATTATATGTTTTTTCTAGATATGTATAGTACGAATCCTTCGTGCATGTGCATGCAGCATGCACAGGTCCATAGCAGCAAAATGGGTCAAAGACAGGGATGCAAACATGTACTCGTAATGGACAGAACCTTTTGAACTCCCTGAGATGGCGATGGAACGAGAGAAATGGGAACTCCAGCAACGAAATGCGGCAGATCTTGCTGATTGTAAATGCTGTTAAGTCCTAGCTGGGATGAAGCCCAATACCAAGGTGTCACTTTTGGGTGGAACCACCAAAAAGGGACCTACCAAGTCTCCCATGGAATGTTCAAAAACCACAGTGCACCCAGGAGGAGTGCACCGGCAGTCATGGCCTCAGATCCAATATTACGTGGAAAGAGCGGGGTTGTGGGGCTTGAATAGTCGAAAAACCCTTCGGTATCCTTCGGCAATCAAACGTGGCAGTGAAATATCCCTCAGAAATGGAGGTGTTAAGAGGACAATTCCAATATCAAGGGGGGATGTTCCATTGCTACGCTTGATTCCCAGAGCTTAGTTGAAGACACCAGCTGTCCCCATTTCCCGCTGAGAGCTTTACCAAGGCAAGGTGGAATTGACCAACACTCAGACCAACAAGACAGAACTGCGGCTGCAACTAGCCAGTGCCAATCAGTGTCATCATGGGTGGAACAGCTATAAACCTTGGAGATCATCCCCTCCGGGGATACAATGATTATTAAAACCTATATGTTTTCTAGTGAGATGTTAGGGCCTCAGGATAGAAAGATCGGCCATGATAGGCTCAGCTAGTGGTACCATGTGGTATCCCAGCTGGAAATGTCAGGATGTCCTTGCCTGCAAATGGAGCAAGTGGAGCATTTGCGCATTGGGCCGGGGCCCCCAACTGCGAACATTGGGATGGGACTTTTTGGCATGGGATGGTCATTTGGAGCCCCAACATTCTGTCAAACAAAAACCTGACTTTTCTGAACAATGTGAGGCCCCCAAGATAGCTAAGTTGGTTTATAAGTCCAATAACTATGGTTTATGGTATTTATAATTATAGTTACTGGGGCTTATAAACCAACTTATAACTGGGGGGCCTCACATTGAAGAATTCAGGGAAAATCCCCAAATCCATTGGTTGATCAATTTTGGTGGCCACATGATACAAACTCCCCTCATCCGCGAGGCGATCCTCAACCCGCCAACTGCGCATAGATTCGAAGTGCCATTCGAAGAAGCCGTGACGTAAACGCGTCGGACCAAAAAGAACATGGCGCCGATGGGAATCTGTTGCGCTCATATGCTCCATGAACATCCGAAAAATTGGGAGATGTTAAAAAACACCAAACAACAGCCAATGCGGCCATATCCAGTGCTAAATTGTTAGGAACCCATTTGCCAGGTTCCAATGTTAAATTTGGAGGTTGTATGGAATAAATATGAATAGCCAACATTATAAACCCAAGATCCTGTATCTGTATATGTGTATATGTACTAAATATGCACCATATATACATGGGGCATATGCACCATACATACATGGTGCATATGTGGCCAATTGGTTGGATCATTTTTGGCAGTGCCAGTTCTAGGAGAACTTCGACTGATGTTTTGAAGCTAGAGGAATGCTACAGACACCTGCAGCGGCCAAATGTGGTTGGAATTGTGATTTTGTGAGCGCCGCCGCTTCAAAAAGCTTGTCCTGGATGGCAAGTCCTTGGGAACTCCCAAAACCTTTCAGGACGCCAAATGTCCTAGGAGCTTGCAGTAAAATTTGGATTCCACTCTACTGTCAATAGCGGAGATGTTTCTTTGAGTTGGAGAGAGAACCCCCCGATAGTTTGACAGTTTGCCATGAAAAATCACGATTGTCATAGGTAAATCATCTATAAATGGGCCAGTGGAGATCATGGCCAGGTGAACTGGAGTGCCATCTCTTCAAGGTTCAGCAGAACCAGGGTTCCAGTTTGGAAAAACCATGGGAAAACATGGTGGGAATCGAGGAAATTGCTGGGGTCTGGTGTTGTTTTGAAGGATTGAAGCGCGTTTCAATTCCAGGAAACGATGCGGAATTGTGTTTTGCAAGCAGATGTTGGGTCAGTCGGGGCTCAGCTCAGAAACTTCCTGCAAGGAGCATGCAGAACACCTGCAGGAGCTGGTGAATGAAGGGAAGTTGGACGGAGCAGCTTGGCAGCCCTGGCATGCCATGGCCGGCATAGCCATGGGCTGTTACGGGGCTGGCTGATGTGTGGGGGTGGTGAAATTTGACCATGGAATTCAATAAGATGTTGTTAATGACCATCAACTATCCTAATGGACCAAATGGATCAACCTCGGGTGAGAATGCAAATATATATGTAACTATACAAATTATTGTAATACTTTAGTGTTGCTTTGCCTTGGCCTTTTTGAAGTTGCACAAAACCTTCATAACCGATAGGGGACGACCCTATGCCTATACCGATACCCCATTTGTGATACCTCCGGGAGTACTGAAATCCTCACAACCGATAGGGGACGACCCTAATTTGTGCATTGCATTGATTTTAACACATATTTTTTTCCGCTACTCATATGCAAATACGATATAAGGGTCAAAATTCCCATGTCGATGTAGTATCATGAGTAATCTCCAATATTTCATGTTTACGTGATACTTCAATAAACATCCCAAGTATTGCCTCAACAGTTTGTTTGGAAGTTAATAATTAGTAAGTTTGACTAGTCGAGTACTATCCCATTATGTTATTGGACATTCAATGTTGTCTCATGCTGCCTCAAGTTATATCCCAATATGTGAGTATATTTGAGTAATGCTGAGTTTTCGCCAGAAATAATTCACTAGTGTTTATACCTACATGACATATATGTATTATATATATATATATACATATGTAATAACAATATATTTATTGTTATTACTATTATTTTATCATTATTATTGATATTATTATGTTTTTTGTTAATTATTATTGTTGATTATGTTACTCTTCTTATTTTTACAATTATATATATATAATTATTATTATTGCTTATGTTATTATTGCGCATATATGTACAAAAATGTGTTTAAACAAACATAATTGATAATATCACTTAATCTCCAATAAACTATGTACGTCCATATACCATTTGGCTTTGCCATGGTTTGAAAATGGAGTATACCCGCAGCCGTTGGGGCATTCAAGACAAATCCATCGAGATTGACCCCTTTCCATCCCTTTACATCAAACTGATGTGGTAACCCCAATACCATAAACCATCCCCAACATCATCATCATTTTATGGACTATACAGCTTATGTTTTCACCATCCTCAAAATATCCCAAGTCATCACCATGATTTTTCATCGCCAAGTCATCACCATGATCTTTTAAATGGTACCCTCTGGTTATGACTAACAGTTCGCCATGGTATAGATGGCCCATTGAAATAGATGGTTTACCTATTAAACATGGGTGGATCTTTCCATGGCAAACTATGGCAAACTGTTGAATAACCAGATACCAGATGGTAGGTATAACTTATAAGTTTCATATGGCATAACTGGTATAACTTATGGATAACTTATGGTATAACTTATAACTTATGGCTATAGACCTACCATGTGCGTTTCAGTCACGTGCCGAAATCCGAATCCCAGGAACTGGCCGACATGTTCCTGGCAGATCCCGGAGCGAAGCAGGGGGCACCCATGGAAAATCCATCTATAAATGGATGATGTAACTGGGGCTAGCAACTCATTTTAAGATTTTTTAGGAATATGCTGTGCATGTTTGGCATATACTTAATATATACACACATATATATATATATATATATATACAATATAGACATGTGTAGGCATGTAGAAGATTATTCAGTATTCATCAATATTATAAATGTGTTTCATGTGTGTGCGTGTGTGTACTACATGATACATGATTATTTGGCCCACTGCTTGATACATACTCATACATAATCTTGAGCAAGATTAAGATACATTTGACTTTGGACATTTGAACCGAATAAACAGGACGTGATGATCCCAGGCTATGGAATGGAACAAGATGGACCCCCCCACTGTGCGTGTGCACCTACCGACAGTCTTGCAGTCCAAGATGCGTGTTTGTCACACGTGAATCATGCGGACTTGCTCCTCCAGATCAAAGTGTGATATCATTGGCATCATCGCGGATTAAAAGAAATTAAAACACTGTATAACAAGACCCATTTTCATATTTGAGAGATTTTGAGAGCTTTCAATTTCCATTCTCTTGACTACATTCCGATGTGAGCCAGAGTGTTCGAGATATTGTTGATACCGTAGGGACCGTAGGGTCAGGATCCCTTGTTTGCTGATTACATCCCCATGTTTGATAATTTTTGCTGGTGTTGACCCGACCTTTACCTGTGGATTCTGTGGCTGTTCACATCTTGAACCGCGGTTTCTCAGCCAAAAAAGCCTTTCTGCTTGTCTCCTCGCGACCGACGCGAATGGCAGCATTTTGTCGCAGTCTGAGACAAGGTCTGAGAGGCTCCGAAAAGTGGAGGGCGTTTATAGAGGATTATCCCAGCTATAAACCTCCATATTTGTGGGATATCCCCGGAGGGTATCTTGGGTGTGCTGAGTCAGATGGGGCAGGAGATGGAAGTGTCACTGTTTCTATATTATATTCCGTCACTACACGGGAAGATCGCTGTAATAAGAGCTCTAATTACTGGGTGTATTTCTAATATACATAATTGTATATATATATATATATTGTGTGTGTGCGTTCCATTTATGAATTATATGCTCCATTTGAATCCATTTGACTGGTAATGCATGCCAAAAAACTTGTTTACCCTCTAGTCATTTGACAGCCAATATGATCCATGTGTACAGTAGATGTTTTACCATTATTTTCCATGGCCATTTTCCATGGCTATGTCAGTTTACTTGATGGTAAATCCATGTAAAGTCATTGTTTGCATTTTTTGCTGGTGAAACCACATTTGTTTGGTGAAATCACCATTTTTGATGGTTAAATCACATTTTTGGATCGGTACCAAGTTTTCAATTGGATGGTACTTGGGGGTCAGTATAAGTATGGTAATATCCCCCATCAGTTTGGAGATTTTAAATAACCTCTGAGACTAAAACTGAGCATAATAATCATATAGATCCACTTATAGCTGGAAATGCACCTCAAGTTTCACATATCCACTAGGCATATAATACATATATATATAGATATATACACATATTATATCCACTGGTAACTATAGGCCTATAGGCAGTATTGCACATATCAACTGAGATATCAAATATCAACACTCGTCATTGCCTGGCCCTGCCAACAGGTTCCGTCCGGCCGCGCTTCGCATCCATGGGGCCGGATCAACCACAGGTGCAGGCGGCAGGCCGCGGTCTCACGGTTGGGGCAAGTGGGGATGTCAGTAATAGCATGCTGGGGCAAACTATGAAACATATATATATATATATAATATTTAATGGTAAATATGTTTATCAACTTTGATTTGTTACTTAAAGCATCGACTTCAATATAATTACTGTAAAACTTTGATATTAGATCAAAGTGATATCAACGATATTCAACAACATATCCAATCAAATCATTTTTGGCACATGGAGCCTGCTCGGAAAATCAACGCTTTGTTTCCTATCAATTATAGGGGATTCCTTGGTTTCCTGTAACACTTAATTTTCAACCAATTCTGGTAAGATCATTCGCAATTTTAATATGATTTCCTTTTTTTGCATGCCTGAAGTAGGCTTCGGTTTGATTGCCTGAGTCGACAAGCGCCTTTTTTTGGGTTGGAAGTAGCACTGCTTCATTTTTGGGGTAGCTTAACACTCATTCCAGGCCTTGGAGCTCTATTCACATGTGAGCAGCGTTCAATTTGCGAAGGCTTTATTTTCATTCATGCTTACGAAAGCTCCAAAAAACAGTCTACCTCTTTGTGAATCACATCATATTGGTTCAGCATATCATTTCCATCAGGGCATGCGCTAGACTTCCATGTGCCAAATCACGTGTGGAGCGGTGCGACTTGGCAACCCAGCTGCATGCCATCTATGCTTCTATGGCAGCGCCAGAATTGGCCCAGCTGGTGCTAGCAGGTATGGGGCTGCCACGATGGCCAGCGGGCTGGCACGATATGCTCCAGTACCACTTCTTCTTCGAAGATATGTTTGTACAGGTGCTGAAACTCAGATCTTTGGGCTACTACATGGTGCAGCCATTCAGTTAACCTCGATTGGGGATGGTTGAAAGCATAATTTTTTGGACGGTTTATTATCAACCTTGATCCGGCCACCAATATCATTTGAACATATTTTAACATAACTACGGAAGTCAACATTTGCCTTTTGAATTCGAACATCCTTTTGTCAGTGGATCATGTTCGACTTACCATCCGACGTAGAGCACAGATATGAAATGGCATTTAGTCTGGGTCATAGTCATAGTTTAAGTAGGAAGCACTTCCCCAAGTCATGTCCTCTAGTTGCTGCAGGTTTGGGGTTGTAGCAGACCCATGGGCAAATGTTAGATAGTAGCTGTTCATGAACAGGTGGGACGATGACCCCCGTTGATTGCTGTTTCGGCATGGGTTGAAACATGTTGAGACCACCCAAGCTGGCTACAGGCACGGGTCTTCTTGACCCCAAGTGTGGAGGAGCACTCCCTGTGGATTTTTGACCATGCTACAGAGAAGCTGGTTGAGTTGCTTGGGCCTGGAGAAGTCATGGGAAACTCGCAATAAGCCGCGGGCTTTGCCCCAAAGCCAAAACCATAGACAAGTCACTTACAGTACATTGATTTACCATCACCACATCTACCACCGTTTTAGTAGGATGTTGTTGTTCCTCTTTTTTGAGTTAACATAGTTTATCATTATTCTACATTTTCTACTGTTGGTGTTGGTCCATGACCCCATTGTGACGGGATTTACTTCACCTGACCATGGCAGATGGTAACTGGTTCTGAGCGGCTTGTGTACTGTCCTGGAAAGGTAAACTCGGGTTCTCCAACGGTTAAAACGAGCCCACGAGTCATGAGATCAATTTTAAAATGCGTATTGAGATACACACAAACTATTAGGCAAGTATGTACACACACACACACGCATGTTTGGCTTCAATAGTTATGTATTGGATCCCCCTAGTTTCAAGATATTAAACGATTCTGCGGGGTCATTCAGTTTTACCAATCTGCTACTCGCCACGATGTTTCTGCTGGCTGAAGACCTCCGCACGCAGTGACCGCATTTGACCGCCCCCTGTTACTGGCGCCATGGGAAACTCCGGCTCAACAGACTTTACATACGAGGCCAGAGATATCCGAAAGCAAACCCCCAAATCACAGGGCATATGGGATTTCTGATGGCAAGTTGATGAATGATGGTGAATATCCCCACTTCGACCCGTTACATCTCCAAAGATCTCGTTTATATCCCCATAGCAGTCTCATGCCATACTACTGGCCTCATCAAAATGGCGTATATCCCCAGTTCCCAACAGCTCATTGCACGAAACCCGATCTTCAGGATGTCCCCGACCAGACCGGGAAGACTGTGCTCACATACTATGTACAGTATAATATTATGAGGTTCTATGATCTATGACCTAGTTTCATCGGGGTTCACCCCGGGTTAGGCAATGACCCCCGGCTGTGCTTCCTGCAATTGGACCTCTCTGACTTCGACTCGGTGAAAAAGGCCGCCAAGGACTCCATGCGGAATTCTCCCCGGAAGCGGAAGGACGATGGGAGCAGTAAAATCCAACAATGCAATGGTTTAAAGTGTAAAACTGAGCATGATTTTTCAAGAACCCAAAATTTTGAGACGGTTGATTACCGTAGGTTTTGATCGTGATTGACCAGCAGCAGTTGGGTGATACGCCACGGGTGAAGTTTTCATCAAAAGTTCTAATATATGGCAATGTTTGCCTTTTCTAGTGTTCTGGATTCAACAAACCTGCGAGTCCATTGAGGCATAAAATGTTCACACTCAGGGTGTCTTTTCCTTATGCCGAGGGGCCATGGATGGCACGTTAGTGTGGACAATCTCTAGTTTCGACAATCTGCTGTTCCTTTTCTTGTCCTACTGATTGCCTGCAATCCCATTGAGTAGTCAAGACTAGCCGCGAGTGAAATGTGGCAGGGTAGTCCAGAAATCAGTGACAACCATTAAGGCATTGTTCAGTTTTGTTTTTGTTGGCAAAAGGGAAGGCTCTCCCAGTACTTCAGTGATCAATGGGACGGTTGAACGGCACCTCCCGGGATTCAAACGTTTTTTGTTCTGACTAGATCCATGATACGCCCTCAATGATACACCACATCTCCAAACTAAGTTTGCCAGTGATCTCGGCACCTTTTTCCGTGACATCTACCATCATCTACCGCTCCCTTGAGCCTGCAGGATTTGTCTTCAATGCTGGGGACGAGCAAACTCGATGCGTTGATCCTCAACGCTGGGGCACTTAACTTGGAAAAGGCCAGCACCAAGCAAGGCCCGGGCAGGGCGATGACCTACTCGGAACCACTCTCCATGCATTTTTTGCAGATGATTTGAATCATGTTGTTAAAACAATGCCATAAACCACCCATTTGGGAATGGTTTATGTCACCTATTTATGGTGATTTGGGGGATGGTTTATTATTGTTTGATCTAGCAACGTTGAGGGCCAATGCTTGCGGGGTCTTTTGCTGGAAGCCACACAGATTGGAGCCGTGTATAGGAATTGCACTGCCAAATACTAGACAACATGCCCCGCCTGGATAAAGAAACATGGATTGTTCATTCATGACTGCACGTGACTTTACATATGTTCCATACTGTGAACGTTTTTATAGTAAAGTAGATTAGTAAGAGAATGTAAGGGAACGGTGAAATCCCTAGTAAAATCACCTAAAAGAGTGATCCATTGTGATGATCATATGACTTTAACCCAAGACTTTTCAAATCTTTCAAATTGGCTTGGGTGCCAATTTGTACCTTAGTTTTCCATCAATTTTGCATGTTTATTGTCCCCATAGGCTTGGAAGCCACCATGGGCGTGTGCCACTTTGGTCATTTCCTCTTCACCGCTCTGGCCTGGCCCATGTTGTCCGCGGAGGCGATGGGGAATCACCAAGAAGCTTGTTGGAAACCCATCCAACTATAGAGGATATATATCATATCTATATAGTATATATATATATATGTATACAAATAAATGTATTTTTAAACAAAACAAAACTATATATATAATTATATATATACATATTTCATATATCCAGCAACACTGTTTAAACATACCACATGTTGACAAATTAAACATTCTCAGGCGGAAATTCATCTTTTGGAACATACTATCCATTCATTCATTATGACCAGCAGTTATAACCTGGTTAGAAACCAAATTACCTATTTGGGACCCCTTTTTGCAACAACAACAACAACAAGAAGATGCATAATATGGATGTATGACCAAATGGTTTATAGGACATATTTGGAGGGTTAATCGTCGACAATGGAGTATTGAGCAACAATAACATCGATGAAATCGCTTTGGTCGGCTGAAACAACTGCTGTTTTTTCGCAATTGTTGGCTCGGTTTTTGGGGTTTCCTGGGGATTCTAAAGCTTGGTGAATAGCAGGCTAAACGATGGGACATCTTGTTCTTTTGCAGACATGCCAGAGGAACACGGTATTCAATGCATGTTATACTGCTTACTTCATATATTTTCATATTAATTCCATTTCGACATGTGTTTGAATAATCATGGCAACCATATTCAAACATATTCCCTCTTGCTGAGGGCCCATAAAGGATGCTGGCGGGTGAGCCCAGGTCATTCCAGGGCTGGATAACAGATTTGGTCGCTTGTTACTGGCTCATTAACATGCATTTTGTTCGTGATTACTGTAAAATGTTACATGTTTCCATATTTTTGATGGTTCATGGTATTTTGTAGCTCAATTGAATATCTTACACAATTATCTTGAAGGGTATCTATCTTGTAATATCTTGTATGAATCTTGACATGTACAGTAAATTTGTTGAGTTGACATGTTCACTTGCTGCTGTTGATTTTCCATATCTCTATCCGTGATTCAGTTCTTAAGTCATGTCATTTTTTGTCTACCCATATTTGCCTGGCTGATCTCACTCCTCATAAAAGATGTTGCTGGAATCTCTGCAAGAAGCAACTCAAGATGTAAAAAAAACACATGAAATCATGTTGAAATTCACTTTGGGTGGTACAAACTTCATGTTTTTGCACATTCCTGACTATTTATATACTATTTTTTGTCGCAGTTCATTCAAGATTAGCCATGAGCCATTCCCGGGCCATCGTCCAGGCACGGATAGTGCCGGTGTCCAGCGTGGGACACACATGGACCAAGAAGGGCATAGACTTTGAGGATCTCAATTGGGAAAAGCGGGACTACGACGCCTACGAGGTCTGCGAAATATGATCGATGGATGGATGGATGGATGGATGGATGGATGGATGGATGGTCATGTTTCCTCATCGTTTGATTTGTTTTGGTGGACTTGGATCTATATTCATGCACATGTGGTTTATAGATTGTACACGAGTTCAACCTTAGCAACGTATCCACTATGGTAAGTAATGGTAAATATATGGACTACTTTTTCGTCATGACCTGAGGTTTTGGTGATATTTCACCTCTACTCGTAGTAATCGGAAATGTGTGCAGTTGCTATTCGGATTGATTCACTATGGCATTCAGTTCCCGGTGAGGGGCTATAACTACCAGTCAATATTTGGCAGTCATAGATATAAAGGTTTCCTAAAATGGGGGTACCCCCAAATCATCCAAATTTTAGATCATTTTAGTAGGATTTTCCATGATTTTCCATCAAAAACCATCCAGCTATTGGGGTACCCCCATTTCAGGAAGACCCCAGCCATGAAGGTCGGACACGTTGATCTCCTGGGGTCCTGGCATACGTCCCCTTGCAAGGCTTACGCACCAGCCAAAGATTTGGAACATCTCTGGCGTTATCTTGAGGAAACACATACCAAACGTAGATTTCACAACAAAAGTTAGGGCAGTTGGGGATTAATTATACACATTTGTATATACATACGCATATGACATATTGAACATATACAAAATATGAAGCTGACACCAACACACACAGTTTCGCGATCTCTTGCAATCAAAGTTTCCATATGGCGAGGTACACCCAACAGTGATTTGGCAGCGCACTGTCACGCTGGTTCCCTTTTTGACTCCGATTTCCATTTTCTTATTACGCAATGACAAAATCTTGGCATATCTTGGTGAGGTTACGCGGATGCCGCGTTTTACCAATATATTCTTCCATCGATTTACCCAGTTCCAACCCTCCCAAGCCAGTTCTGCAGGGGTTGCAAGTGGCTTTCGAAGACGATCCATTACATTCCCCTACCAGTACTGCTTAGTACTGACGTTTTCATATATGATTGGCCACAAAAGCATTGCTAAGACTCAGATAACCAAGCAAAATCTCTACGCTGGCCAAATTTCCTGGGCCCATGCCATCCCATGCCCCACTTTTGCCATGTTTCGTGAGATTTTCACCTCAACCTGAGACCTGGGAGGCTTATTTCCAAGCCAAATTGGCCAACGTTTACTTCACCAAGGAGATCGGTCGTCGCTGCGGGGCCAAAAATCTGAAGATCACCGCGGTGACGCTGTCGCCGGGCTTTGGCAGAAGCGGGCTCTACCGCGACTTCTCCGGCTGTAGCTGGGCCCACTAACGTGACGGGTGGAAGTTCAGGAGGCCAATGGAAAAACATGTAAAATCATATCAACGACATCCCCAAATGGTGGGTTTATCATGGTTTATCGTGGTTTATCCATTAATTCATATTAATTGTTGGGTTTGCCGTTTACCTGTTTGCCACATTGTTCCGGAAGTTGAAGCGCTCACGTTTTTTGGGGCTGAGATTTTTCACACAAGACCACTTGCGGAATGATAAATTTATGTGAATTTAGCCTGATTTTTGGGCGTGGAGTGTGCAAAGCTATGCAAAGCTCGAGATCTAGCTCAGCATTATTGCACTTCTCAGGGCAGGATTATCTGACCAGCTTTATCTCTGAAGAGAACGAGAAGCTGTCCATCAATACCATGAGGGCAGCCACAGATACTTGATGGTAGTTTCAGGTACTTTTGATGTCCATCCCAAAGATTTAGATCATAACCCCTGATGGTATGACACGTTTTTCGATATGTGTCAATGATATATTTTGTCAACGATGTTGAACCCTGGCAAGAAGAGCCAATGATGAAAAAAAGGACAATCCTACGCCGGATTGTTGGCTCAGTTTGCCTTCCAGGGAGTTTACGCATAATCAACATCAACCTTTTTCCCCTATTATCTCATATATACTAGAAACCACTGGTGACGGAAAGTACTGGTCCTGTTCATGCATTTTGGGTTCCCAGTCATGGGATGTGTTCAATATTAGGGGATGGAGTTCTTCAGGATATGACCTTGAAAAACGGTGACTACTTGGTCCCCAAGCGCTTCGGATTCTACGGTCCACCGGTGGTCACTCCACCATCGGATCTCTCCGAAGATGTGAACATCGCAAAGCAGCTGTGGACGCTTTCAGAGGAGATCACAGGGCAGAAGTTCGACATCGGGGCATAGGCGCAAATTGCAGGCGTTGTTTGCTGAGGGGCTGGGTGAAGTTGGCAAAAACAGAATTTGATTTCCGTTTGTTACCTACATATTATATATATAATTATATATCATTATTTACAACAGATCTAAATAGTTATATGCAGCATATATTTATTCATTTTGTTTATAGTATATATATATATTACATTATATATATACATAATATGTACATATATATGAATATATATATATACATATATCCAGAGACGGAGAGAGAGAGAGAGAGAGAGCCTTATCATTATATATATATATTGAGTTATATACTTACATATGGCTAGGTCATTATTGTGAATGTATGACATCAGCAAACATTCATATACATGTTTGACAGTATATATGTATATAAATATGTGTTTGTTTGCACCCTATTCATGATGATCATTGTATGTACATCCAGCCATCCAGTTTTGTGATAGACACTTCTCACTAAGAGAAATATTGAATCCAGTGAAGGTTCTATTTCGGTCAATCATATTCTCAGACTTGAGATCATGTTTGTGATGATGGTGAACTGGTGAACCCTCATCGGTGATCTTAGTTTTTGCTGCTTAACTGGCCCCATGAGCGGAGGTGAGATTCCTATGGAGACCCCTGCTAGGTTCCCAACTCTCACCCCTCCGACACCATCAGAGAAGTATTGGTCGTATTCTGATGTATTCTGCCATGCGAAGCTACTTCATGGAGTCATCTACCAAGTATACTTTTTGCAAGTTTACTGGAGGCTTACCTCCAAACATTGTGATACATACATAAAATAAGCTGAGGGTTATGACTACTATGTTAAGATTAAATTTCATCGCTTCCATCTGACGGTCCTCAGGCCTTCAGCTCCTTCAGCTTCGGCTGCGCTTGACAAAGAGATGCGACATGTAGCCGTGTTCCCCTTGTCCAGTGGGGCTCTAGCCCCAAGTTTCGAAGGTCAGAACCAAGCAGCAACTAGTAACATATGATATATTTATACGGATATATTGTATGTATACAGATATATAGTACGCATGTACCATTTCATGATGAACGACCTTGAACAAAGAAACAAACTGATGTGTAGTGCCTGAAATGGGCCGACGTTGCGAGCCAACTCCTTCAAGTTGACGCATGTTTGTGGGTCAAGATGCGCCATGAATTGGTGGTTGTTTGTGGTCTAGCCCTTAATGGAGCCTTATTAATTGTGCGTGGGATCACCCTGATGGCGGGTTGAAACCCCCTGATTGGTGATCAAATGATCCAATGATTCAATGATTGATTTCCCGCACCGACGGAAAGCGCAGCACTGAAGCAGAAAAAATGGTTGGGACATGGAACACGGAACCGGGCCAGCCTAGGCTCAAGTCGTACCTGAAGGATCCCAAAGGTCAGTTGCCAGATGGAAGTGTCTTCACCCAAGATGATGTAACACTCAGTTTTAGAGTACAAGGATTCCGTGTAACATCGACTTTGGCCTTACTAACTAGGTGACTGGGTACAGTTTTCCATCGGCATTTGTCACTCTCAGAAAGCCGAGATCAACGGAGGTTAGAAAACTGCAATGAAAGACTGAAGCAGTCCGAGGCCAGCGAGCAACCAACGCACAGTACGGTTGCAGCGAGTTGTTTTCCGCCTTGCAATCTGACATGACGACAACATCCAGAAAACATAATGTGTGTACCAGACCTTTCAGTGAAAATCGTTGTTTTCCGAAGTCTATCTGAGTTTGCCAGTTTACCCTAGGATTATTTTGGCTTAAGTTGATCCTCTCAAGTCAGAAATTTCTACAGTTGATCTCCCAGATCTCGCTGTGCCGGCAGGGATCTCACTTGGAGGTTTCTGGTCCTCGACTTCAAATTTTGGATGGCCCGGGAGGTGGCCATGTCTCTCTTGGCAAGGACTGGGGCGCCGATGGATTTTCGTATTTTTAACTGGATTCCAACAGTTCCATCTTTCCAGGACATGAAGGTGGAATTCAAGAATAAGAATGTGTCTGGGCGGCAATGTGAATGGCTTGATTCCAAGGTCCAAATGTAGGTTACTACGCGTAAGAACTGAAATGACTCTACAAGCGTGCGGGTTGTGAAAGGCATCAAGGTTACATCTCGATTCTTCCCAGTTGGTTGAAAGTTTAAACCTGTTTGCCAAAAAATGTGTGTCATCATTCTGTAGATTAGAGCTAAAAGGTATTTTTTTTGTCCAAAAGTACTGCAAAATGGGAAACCAATGAAAACAGATGGATTTTGGGCCCTCTTTGCCACGCTTCAGATGGTAGCTTGAACATGCGTGAACAATTTTGTATGTTCCATCCGTAGTGCGAGGAGGGTGATCCTGCTTCACCCGCATAGCTATCACAAATTCTTGCCACAGGCAATACTCAGTTATTACTGTCTTTGAATACTCCTCAGATTTCCAATTATTTCATGTTGGTCTCATACCTTTTTTGCATGGCTCAAGTTTGATTGTCATAGAGGATATTGGTTTCAGTGGTTTACTACTTCGACCTTCTTGATATCAAATGACGCGGATACATCCAATAACCTTGCCGGCAAACAGTATAAATTATTCTACGTTACCACAGATTATATAGTATAGACTCCATTTTTTGCTATGTTTGAAAGTTATACTTGCTGATTGCTATCATGCCTCTAAATCTGTCAATATCCTGGTAATGTGCAAATATTTGTGCACACATATAAATGTATACAAGCCGGACCACATGATGATAATATATGTGTGATATAGATCCCGCGCATGTTGATGTGCAATTATATATATCATGTATATGTCTCTATCTATCTATCTATCTATTTATCTATCTATCTATCTATCTAGCTATCTATATATATATTTATGTACATGTGTGTGTACATGTCTGACACGATTATGTATGTGCGTGTGTTTCCTCCAACCCAGTTGGTGATTTCTTGAGGTTTTCTCTTGGCTGCCTGCTGGGCAGAGTACAGATGCCGTGATCCATCGCCCAGATTTGGAGCTCTCCATGACGTGACTCAGCCGTCCTTAAATTAAGTCAAGAAACGTGTAAAGTGACCCCAGACACCTCAGTAGCCGGTTATGATTGGTTATGTAATGAAGGTTTAACTCATTTATATGGGGGTTAAGCATGCGACATGGGAACAAACATTAATTAATTGATAAACATATGGTGGTTGATTGGTTGGTATAGTCGGTTCCGTCTTCTTCCATCCCATTTTGGGAAACCCCTATCAACCAACCAGCATAGGCATGACATTTCAAGTTTTGAAAAACTGTTCATATGCATGTTGGGGTTTTCTAGGCGTCATTTATATCAACAAATGCCGGATTTGTGTGAGCACCACATCTGGTGTTATCCCGCCTATACTCAGGTCAACTACCATGGCTATGGAAAACCCCTCGATTTCCATAGCTAAGTTGCTTCATAGGTTGGCGAACTAGGGTTGGTTTATGATACTCGTAGATGAATCGAACTAGCTAATTGGGTGCTAAGAACCAACTTCATTATATATTGTTGTATGCTATACACGGCAATCATAACTATAAGTATAAGTCAGGTTAAGAACCATAAGATGTTTGTTGGAGTTTCAGTGTTTAAGAACCAACTTTTGTCCGACTTGATAAGTGGTTTAGCCATGATTTTGGATGACTTAGTGGGGGACCCCCAGGCTTTCCCAGGTGCACCTGACAGGTATGGAGGTCGAACACGCCTGGGTCGCGGGCAACTTGGCACGAAGATCATCAGCCCCAGTTGGGGATTTCACCAAGAAAAATGGCTACTTCAATGGGATTTTATATTGATTTAATGGGATATAATGAGATATTATAAGGGGATAAAGCCACAACAAAGATGGTGGATTTGACATGTTGATGGGGATGTAGTGGGATATAGCCACCCGTAATCAAGCATGGCTGGAAAAACAGTTATGAATTGGTCTTTTAATGGGAACATCACTAATCACATAAATAAATGATTTATACTGCAAATGGTTCCATTGCCATGTTTGATAACCAGAGGGTAACATGGGTGTACGACCAAACAAAATAGGCATCATTCTTAATTGTCACATGGGATAAAGCATGGACATGCATTGGCATGAGGCTATTCCACATACAATTCTGCCTTCGTGATGTCTTCAATGGGTAGTAATTCATTATATAAAATTATATATGACAAAACATTTGAATCAAGGTTGGTACAGAATTCCCGTAGTGCTGCGATCATTCATCCTATATTGTTGCATGACTTCACCTTGGCCAACGATATTGGATACACCAGTGATTTGGCAAAACAAACCCTCAGAGCACCTGATTTACATAGATTTACTTTTGACTTTGATCATTCAACAATCCAAAACCACCAACAAAACATCTCTAAACAAATTAAAATTATCAAAACGTGTTCTTTCGGCAGTCTTGAGCCATTTTGTTGATGCTCTTCCAATTGGCGATGATAAACCCAGACATGGATACTTTTACACCGGGGATGCCCGGCATAGAGCGATTGAACTCAGATACTCAAAGCGCTACTTTGGGCACTATGGGCCTCACTGGGGCTACCGATTCATCCAGAGCAGCTGGCTGGGCGACAAGTTCTTATGGACGTCGGCTTGGGGGATGATCGTTTTGACGAAAGAAGTGCAAGATTAACAAGCTATTTTAAACTAGTTCGAGCTATTTCACGACATGTTTTGTTGGAGTATATTCATTAACTGCTTACTTTTGGAGTATGCTCATGTTGAGTTTAGGGTGAATGCATGCTGCAAGAAGTCCCGCTGGGCGGGATGGCTGAAGCCTGTAACCATGTAGAACCATTTTGACAGGAGATTGGTGTTGATAAATCGGCCGGACATCCCATCCAAAAAAGTTGAAAAGCTTGGACTCTTGGACCCATCAAGAGGATGCAAAGGACTGACTGAAAAAAACAAATGCTGCAATTTCCATCAATTTAATTTCCGCTTCAACTTGGTGGGAAAATGTCGGCCTTTTTGACCTTTTTCGACGCTTCGGACGACAGGACGGCAGATGCGACCTTTCGCTTGGGCGACGGGGAGGCCACTCGCAGCATGATCTGCAATCATGGTGCATGTTTCCATATCATATATACAGTAATTGCATGTAATTACTTACCAGTGCCCGGACCGTGCTGGGGCAGAAGTTTCGAAAATGTTAAACCAGCTATAAGAGATCAATGGCCGACAGGACAGCTTTTGAGATGCAGAAGCCATGAAGTGTTGAAGCTGGGAGGTGCATCAACGAATTAGCAAATGGTGGTTGAGATGCCAATGGATTTGACATGGAAGAAGCCATGCACAACTGACTGAATGAGCCCAATGAACCAATGAGTCGATGAATCAATGGACTAATGAATGCATGAGGCAAATGAACCAATGAACCAATGAGTCAATGAATCAACAAATCAATGAATCAACGCACCAATGAATAAATGATTAAATGTCTCATTCAATCAGTAAACCAACGGATCACAATGAATCATTCAATCAATAAATCAAAGAATCATTCAGTGAATCAACCAACCAATGAATCAGTGAATCAACGAACGAATGAATCAATGAGTCAACCAGTCCAGGACTCAATGAATCATTGAACCAACCTATCTCAATGAGTTAGTGAATCAATGAGCCAATCAATTCTGAATCAATGAACCAATGAATCAATCACTGAACCCTGAGTCTCCGAATCTAGTAAACTTAGTTTGACATAACTTTAATGCAATTGACTAATTGACTTTGACAAGTAGTTGTTTTTTGGCATGTTTTGCAGTTGGTTTATCAATTTTCGAATCACCATGGAAACAAGATAGAAGCAGCATACAAACTACATATTGCTTTTTTCTTTATAGAAAAACATATCAAAAACATCGTGGTTCTACCACAAGAAAAACCACGTGAACATTATAGATATATATATATATAATACACAACAATTCTGCGAAACAACATTGCATTTTTGTTTGCAAGTTGGAGTCGGGAAGCTTGGCATTCCCATGTAAAAAGTGACTGGTTCACATCAATTGAAATATATAAATGCTTTGAGCTGCAGAAGCTGATTCCAACAGATGTATTCAAGAAGTGAAAGTTCAAACATTTGAGAGGCTCCAACTGTGGGAAGAAATTTTGTTTGTGATTTGCAAGCCTTTGATTTCTCAAGAAAATGATCACAAGTATAGGGATGGCCAGGTGCATGTGATTTCTATATTAGCTGCTTTTACTTGGTCTCAGGTAAGAAGTGTAAAGCACATGTCATTTTCCCTTCCGTGTTCAAACTTTCATGTGTGATAGATAAATAGATAAATGAATAGATATTGAGATACAAAGGCGTATATGGAGAGATAGCTAACTACATAGATAGACAGATGGATAAGATAAATAGATAGAAGGATGGAAAGACAGAACAGAGAGAGAGAGAGAGGACGAGGAAGAGGAAGAGGAAGAGGAAGAGGCCCAGGAAGAGGAAGAGGAAGAGGAAGAGGCCCAGGAAGAGGAAGAGGAAGAGGCCCAGGAAGAGGAAGAGGAAGAGGAAGAGGGAGAGGGAGAGGGAGAGGAAGAGGCCCAGGAAGAGGAAGAGGAAGAGGAAGAGAGAGAGAGAGAGAGAGAAAAAAAAAGAGAAAACCTGAGCCTCAACCACCTGCCGTTCCGTGGGCGGGTTCGCTCTCGCATCTATGCACGACGACAACACACCTCTCCTAGAGTCTCCTATCTTTGAAACTTCCGCCACCGCCTTGTGCGGTACTACTGAACTGGTACACATCATGTTACTTTACTGGAGGTAATTTTAGGAGGACCCATGGCTATGTTTGTTTCACGTTTATGAGAGGCGACAGAGTCACAACAAATTTGGGTTGCATGATGTTCCGCTGTTGGATGTGGCCATGACAAGATGCCATCATTGAATTGCAACAAAAACATTTGAGAAGGTGAAAGGCACATGATCACGTGGCTGCATTTTTTTCTAGTGCCAGGATGTTCCACATTTCAACCCTTGGTACCAACTGAGTTCTTTCACTTTCCCCAACTCAAGAATCCTTAGTCCCGGACCCATTTTGTTTCGACTCCAATGGGTGGTGCTTCAGGTGACTCCCCCACTTTAGGCTCAAACTTGATAGTGGACACCCTAATCCCACCTAGTTGTTTTTTTTTGGGGGGGACTTTCCACAAAATAAATCAGGATTCATCCTCTTCTGGAAAAATAGTTGTGTTTTAATCATCCCTGATTTTGTTTGCTTTGAAACAGCAGTCCTCCACTGAATCAGTCAGTTTGTCCCATGTTTTTGTTTTCATCATCTTCTGATTGTCATGGCTGGAGGCCAAGTACAACTACTTCAAGTTGCTGGATAGCAATGGTCAACTCACTCAAGCAGACAGCCGCGACACCTACCAGCAGGTCCTCTGTTCGCTGTGGTCGGGTTTTTAAGATGCGTGGTTGTAGATCTCCAAATTGCTAACATCCCCCCAGCTAACATTGACATCATAGACCCTGCCATGAGTTGGGGGTTGTAAGATTAGTTTCCACTAAACATCAGCTATTGTTAGGGTCTATGTTAATTTACTGGCGGCGAGTTTCACTTCAAAAAGATGAACTATGGAGGTCATCTTGGGATTTAACTGGAAAATCAATGAAAATCATGGAATGTTATCAAAACATTGTTGTTCTTGATTGGGAGGCGCAATCCATGGGAGGTTCTTGATAACCTCCGTAGCTCTACAGAACATGTTGCATTTCAAGTAAAGTCGAAGCATGGTAGAAAAATGACAAAAATACATTGGTCTAGCGTAGATGACACATTTTTGCAGCAAGTGGCTCGTGATCATTCACCCTCTCAGTGTTTGGCTGCAGAAATTTGATGGTCTCTGATTGACCCCTTAAAATGTCTAAAGGAGGCCCCAGGGGCATCAGCAAGCCACAGGATAGCGAGGCGTTCGCGACCATTGATGGCAAACGATTTGAGCCTCGGAGCAGAGCCGAGGGTTGTGCATCTCAATTATTTCTTTTGGGTTTGCGTGAGAACAGTGCGCTCCCAAATCTCGAATTTATTGATTTATAACTATATTTACTATTTTCCCCATAAAATGTGCAATTCGGGGGTAATGGTATAGCATGGTATAGCATGGTACAGCCCATTTTGAGACACACGCAAGTGGATTCTAAACTCGCCAAAAAGGTGGGACTCCAAAATAAACAGAAAAAAACACTGACCTGCGGATTTATGGTTTGGGGCAAAGGACCATTAGCCGGCCCACAGAGGGGCCATTTTTTTTGCGAAAACCCCAGGTACTTGTAGAGGGACTTGTGTTCATCATTGGGTATCCTTCATCCACAAAAAAGCACCGGGAGGGTGCTTTTGGAAAAGCCGATCATACATGGAAATGCCAGCAATCAACGGGGGCATAAGCCACGATTTGATTGCTCTGAAAATCATGACCCTATTCAGATGGCCTATGTTTGAGAGTGGGAAAAAAATGCTTAGCACTAGGCTTAAGAAACAACCCGAATTATGCCCTGGTTGACTGTTTGGACACTGAACAGAAGTGGTGAAGAGAGTAGAGCTTCCATTGGGGTTGGTGCTCCAAAATAAGTTGCCGGCACCGAAAGGATCATCCCGGTAGGTGTGGATCAAAGCGATGAATTGAATTGGTGGTTTGATTCTTCCGCCTAATGATCAGAAGGCTCCGGAACAACATCATGGCTGGGTCTTGGACTCCTCTTCATTTTGCTTCATGGCCGTCTAAACAGGATGTTTTCAAGATAAGGGGAAATGGATTAATGCCATTATACTATGCAGCTAAAAGCAGACAACTCCTCTATGTTTGCCCATCGGAATTGTACATGATATTCGGAAAAATATGATGAGTTTCCCCTATGACAGAATGGTATACGTTCAACTGCCACCAAGCAGATCGGCTAAAATAATGAGATATAATGAGACTGTGTAAAATCCGATGGAAATGCTGCAATCCGATGGACAGAGGTAGTTTGTTCAATTTTTTTCGGGAGCCACTAAGGTGGCCAGCATCACTCCCCTGGGGGAGTGGCTGCATGACTACAAGGCGGGTGAGACCAACAGTCGCATGCAGCTGAGGCAGGGCGCCGCTGAGTCAGTTCACCCAACAGTACCTGGTGGGAAAGCAAAAGATAGCTGGGATTTATAGGTGAACTGTTTTTCCAATATAGGTACTATGGTTTTCAAATGGTGGGATTTGGAAAATAGCTGGTGTTTTTTGTCCAAATCTAGACTTGCATAGGCCACAGGCATATCATTATTATCATTTGACCATCTCTGCATATTGTGAATAATAAAAGGTGAGGCTTCCTGGGTTTGGTTTGGCTTGTGGTACCCTCTGGTAATTTAACATAGCTATTGAAAATTGCCATTTATAGCTGATTTACCTATTAAAAATGGTGGTTTTCCATAGCTATGTTAGTATACCAGAGGGTACAGTAAAACTTCAAGGATCAAAATAACCAGCACGCCACCGCACTGGCCAACCAACCAGCTGTTTGGGCGATAGACGTCATTTTTTCAGATGTTACCACTGACCTTGCTGGCACTTCAGAGCCAGCAAACCAGATCCGAACGAAAAACCATGTGCAAAACATCTTCGCAACATTTCCAAACGCCTCCAAAATTACAAAATGGTCTTCAAACACTATATATATATATAATTATATTTATATATATATATACAGTGTATAATCTAACTACCATATACCAGAGTTATCCTAGACTTTACTATCTGAGGGTCTCCACCTTGGCACCAGTAATTTCGGAGTCACGCTGGCAGGTACTGCAAACTCCGCCTCTCCTGTGGGGATGATGCGCCTCTGGAGGGTTATGCGCTGAACGAGCGCTGCTTCGGAGTCTTGGGCTAGCCTTGCTGACGGCGCAGATGTCCTCCGCGAAAAAAAAATGCGAGGTTGAAGGCTGCTGCTTGGCGCCCTCTAATAGATCTCTGAGAACGAAGAAGGAACTCATGAGTTATATCTTGATTTGTTATCTCACATGGGCCTGCCTAATTACGATGTTCTCATCCGCGAAGGCTTATCATGGGAACATCGTACATTTCAGTTCAGATACCATGCTGCAAACCCAAGCAGAACCTGCAGTTCTCTCAGGTTTACCAACCCTGAAGTGGCAAAATTGAGCACAGTCTATCACAAACAGAGCCATCAAATAACCCTGCTTTTAACGGTTTTGCCGCATTCTGAACCCCCAAGTATATGCCACCTATGCCTATACCAATAAAGTTTCTGAGTGGCCCCCATTCTGGTAAATCAGGTCCATTATTTCAAACCCTATATGTGCAAAGTAAGGCTTCCCAGCTAAGTCGACTCAGAGACCCTTCCAACTGTAACATATTGATGAGTATCGTATATAGATATATTCACGACACCAATCCTAGCTGTTGGCTGTTGGGTTATAGACCATTTTGATGGTTCACTTACTTTTCCATAACAATGGAGAACAAAAAGGGGCCCCTCAGCATCATGGGATCGAGGTGGGTGCTTGCAGCAGAGATTACACCAGAGGTACCAGAGGTCAGGATGGGCTGCATCTTTTCCGATGGTTTCAGATGGATTTCGGCGTTAAAAAGGGCGACATACTTGAACAATCTTGAACTGCATTGAAAGGATAATTCGCCTGGGTTTGTCATGTCTACTGTAAGCGGTTGGGAGCAGTGGTGCCTGCGCAAAGTGGCTAATCGCCAAAGATTGAATAGTCAGAAGTCAGAACGAGGAGTGAACATATCCCGGAGGAGAATCATCCTTCCGCGCTCTCCCCCAAAAAGTGGGCATGTTGAGCATGCATCCATACCGAACATAAAACTTCGACTGGTTTAATGAACAGAATGCTATCAAAGCCAAAGCCAAAATTATCTATCTTGAGATGAGTTTAGTGATGAGGCTAGTGATGAGTTTGGGTGATTGTTTCGTCAATCATGTTAATATTGATTGCATTGGATTAGTGAAGTTACAAGGTACCGTGAATCATAGTGGAATCCTGCGGTTGCCTCTATCATCTTGTGCCCCCCCAAAGCTACACAATGTTTTGCCTGCCGTTGATGTGAAAAGATGTCATGGAACTTCATGTGGAGCAGGCTATAGCAGCTATAGCATAAATTGGATATACAGATTTGCATATATGATATATCATGACATATCAACTTATGTATCATATATATATATATATATTCATTTATTTAATTTATTTATATTATTTATGTCATAGTATACAACATCATCAAACAGCAACCGCAGGCATCGCGGTTAACCGGGTTGGTCACAGCGGCCAGGCCTATCATTTTTACATCTCCTTGCCAGCGGGGTGCCGATCTCAGGGGCGATGCTTTTGGATGCTGGGTATCCAGCCAACCATCATGGGATATAACTAAATAAAAATAGACAATATTGGATTAACCAATGGAGATATTATGCTTTTCTGGTTGGTGCTTTGGAACATGTTGATATTATTTTCCAATTCATATATGGGATGTCATCCTTCCCATTGACGAACTCATATTTTTCAAGATTGTTAAAATCACCAACCAGTTTGGTGTGTTTTATGTATGTATGTATATGTTTTGGCTTGTCCCAAAATGGGACAGGGTTTATGTTTGAAGGAATTCCAAGATCCACCAGTTCAGGGTTCCATTCAAAAAGACAAATCAATGGGTTCGGTCTCTAAACCCCATTTTGATACACCCAATTGTTGATGCTTGATATCACTATACGTTGTACATTGTTGCACATTGTTGTACATATTTGGCCGGATTTCTCAATCTTGACATTCGGCTTCTCGCCATTTCTGCTGCTGTTTGTTGCATTTGTTCAGCCTTTGCTGTGTTGCATCTTGGCTCGTGCAGACATCGAGAAATTCACTCGCCTCAAAGATTCCCAAGTTGGATCAGCGGCTTCGACCGAAGCGGCAAAAAGGAAACAACAGACATGGCATGTTTGAAGTTGAGGTACCGAAACAGTGCCTTGTCGGCAGCTGTGGAATGAGTTTGTCACTAAGTTGTTTTTGTTTTTGTTGCTGCTGTTGTTGTTGCTGTTGTTGTTTGTTGTTTGTTGTTTGGTGTTTGTTTGTTGTTTGTTGTTTGTTGTTTGTTGTTGTGGTTGTTGTGTTTGTTGTGTTTGTTGTGTTTGTTGTGTGTGTTGTGTGTGTTGTGTGTGTGTTGTGTTTGTTGTGTTTGTTGTGTTTGTTGTGTTTGTTGTGTTTGTGGCTTGCTCTTCTTCTTGTTGTTGTTGTTGTTGTTGTTCGAGGCATATAATTACTAAGTGTAGTAATATAGTATGTACTGTAGCATGTTCGTTGTAGAATTTGTTTCTTGTGTGCACTTGTTAATGCAATGTTATATATATATATATACACTTTGATTTGATAAATTTTGATAGGTGCCTGTAGGACCAAGATTTAATGTCTGTAGTTTTCATGATTCCTGTGCGATTCTCCAAAAAGGCTCGAATCCAAAACAAGTGTCTGATTTGCTGACTTCATGAGCCGCTTGAATCTTCTGAAGCAAAATGCGAACCGGAATTACGAATTGCGGGTTTTTGAAGCCCACATGGGAAATAAAATTTTTTAGACCTTTCTACATTTTTGGAATTGCCTGGGAGTTGCGCAAAAATGTGAATTAGTTGCACCGAACTATCGGAATTGTCCGCACTGAATGTCGGAACTTACTCCAAATCAATCTGTCCAAATTAAAATCAAAAAAATGATCAGATTTAGGCTGCGTCAAGCCGTTTACATCCGAACTGCCAAATTTGACAGAAAGTGTTTGAACTTTACTCCGAACCGTCTGAATTTCTTCGTGTTTTTCCAAAAGCGAACCATTTCCCATTATTTGCTCAAATTCCCAATTTTTGTTAATTAATCTACGAAAGTGGGGTCTCCATGGGTCTCCCACTTCTGTTAGGTACGAATTGCGATCCAGATGTATTATATTATACACACATATATATATATAGTATATTATGCCGCAATTATGCCTGTGTTTGTGCGTCACTATATATAGATCGGTCACATGCATATGTGTGCAACTTCATTCAATCCGCGACATGGACCTGTTCGATTGCATTTTTGGTTGCATATGTTTCGCATATTTTTCATGTTTCGCATATTTTTCAGCCAAGGGCGGTCCAGGCCTGTCTGAGAATGAAATGGCCTTCTACTTCATCAGTGAACTGGTGTACTTGTAATGCACGACAAATGGTATTTATATAGGGACCGCCACCAAAATCTAACTAATTATGTGCTTTTGATTTGGAGTAAGTTATTAGTACCTACTGTTCTAAGTTATAAATGGCCCACATTTCAGCCTGACGAATTTCTTGTAGCTGACCACGATCCAACGATTCTTTCCTCAGGTTTCATCGATGTGGATGAGGAGGTTCCGTCTCCCAAACGCGCCAGCAGCCTCCCAGCCACCACCCGTGAGTCCTCCTTCTTGGATCACGGCTTGGAGGAGGAAATCGGTCATCAGAGCTATGTGGAGCCTGGGCTGCGGTCGGCACTTTCTGGGCCTTCCATCGGTTGTAACAACATACACCAACCATGGTTTCACGAGGTTTTCTGTCCACAATCAAATCAATCGGCCAAGTCCAATTTTTACGCAGTTGTTTTTTGGTGAGATGTTTGGGGCTTTACTGTGGAAGGAAACAACATATTGCAGATGTTCCTATTCCGAAAGGTTTCTGCCGGAACCCCACCTGCAGCCACTTTTCTCAGAAGAGCTGTGGAAGCTTAGGGGCGCGGGATAATCAGTTCCCCCATTGTAGACAAGAGCTCTGAGCGGACAGGGGCACCGGGTTCTTCCTGAATCTGTGTTTTTTTTCGTGAGGGGTCACCTTCATTGTTAAAATTGTATAACAGTTGAATTACTTGTATGATTAAGTATGTGCCCCTTCATCATTGATATCATTTGATTTGATCGTTGAACTTTAGTGTGTTTGATTTCATGGGGCGGTTTTCAGGTAACGATTCCAGACTCAGGAAAATCTGGCACCAAAGTTGCAGACGCTCCGCGCAAATGCAGAGCCTGTAACTTGAGCTGAATGCCTCATATTTCTTTTGGGGGGTAGTGCCAAGAGCCAAAGAAACTATGGTGCAAATATAGCACACGCACACACACACACACGCATACACACACATTACATACATTCATTCATACACTTATAATAAAGAAATATAATATATATATATATAAATACATACATATATATATATATGTACTGTACAGGTTGGAAGGTGTAAATTTATTTTACCTCAAACCTGAAGCACCTTCGTTTGTCATGTTCAAGCAGTTCTGTCATCAGAAAAGTTCCGCCCTGTGATACCTCGATCCCGCATCCTGCGTATAGCACCATATACACACACACAGCTTTCTTTCAAAATGGGAAGTTCTGTATGGTTTATGGTAGATATATCTATATAGTTAATGGGGTCTATAACCCAACTTACAACTAGGGGGCCCCACATTGTGTGTATAATGATGTATAATATACATGTTAATTTCTATATGATGTGTGGCCATTGCATTAGGGAACATGTAGTGTCATGAAGGGATTCCTTGTTTTTCCCCGAAGCTTGGCCATGGGGTGATTTTCTTCGATCCAACTCATGGGGTCATAGCTAACCTTACATCATAGTGATAGTGAGATTGGGGTATCATTGTATCATTATGACTATCATTATATTGATAGTTATAATAGTGATAGTGATTAATTATAACATCTTTTGCGGTCTTAATTCTTTGCATCAAACCGTGATGGTGAACTGGTTAAACTGTATTAATATACCCATAGAAGTCAAAAGACCTGCTTTGGAAGGTCTTTCACCAAAGACCGTTTTAGTGACAGAAGACATCAAA